AAGAAGAATAGAACCGGTGATATATGATAAATTCATGTTATGGTTTATTCAATTCACCTTGCAAATTATCAATGATTAAATCTTTTTCGATGTTAGTTAAGTTGACTCCCGTCTAACATTGATTTGGACCGGAATCAAACAAGGTTATCTACCCTTCCCCCCCCCATTCTTTCTCTTTCTTTTTACGGTCGACTGGATTATGAAAACTTCTATGTTATTGACGGTAAGTATGGAATAAAATAAACAAGTTGGATACAACTAGTCGATTTGGAATTTACAGATGACGTGGCCTTTCTATGTTATACAAATGGATAAATAAAGATGAAGAAAACTGCTGTAACAGCAGACTCTACATCAGTAGGCCTCAGTATACTTAAAGAAAAAAATTAAGATCCCAAAATGCAACATGCACAACACCAACACAAATACACTTGGAGAAACTCTAGGAGAGGTGGAAACATTCACGTATCTGGGAAGCATCAGTGATGAACAAGGAGGATCCTATGCAGATGTAAAGCAGAAGATTAGGAAAGCAAGGGCCACATTCCTACAATTGAAGAACATTTGGAACTCAAAACCACTGTCTGTCAGCCAATATCAAAGTCAGAATCTTTAATACAAACGTCAACACAGTTAATTCTATTGTACGAAGCTGAAACGTGGTGAACTATCACAATCATCATCAAGAAGGTACAAATATTTATAAATAGTTGTCTACAAAAGATACTCAACATCCATTGGCTGGAAACCATCAGAAACAGTCTACTGTGGGAGAGAACAAATCAGGTTGAAGCTGAGTAGAAAATTAGGAAAAGACGTTGAAAATGAATAGGACACACATTACGGAAATCATTAAACTGCATCACGAAATAAGCCTTAATTTGTAATCCTGAAGGGAAATGGAAAAGTGGAAGATCAAAGAACACTCTCCACCGAAAATTGGAAGCAGGTATGAAAAGGATGAATAACAACTAGAAAAAAAAAACTAAGAAAGATTTCCCATGACAGGGTTAGATGGAAAATGCTGGTGATTGACTTATACTCCCCGATGAGTGGTAAACGACGTAAATAAATATATGTATATATTGATGTCCCCTTGTATCACAATGTTTATGTGGTCAAATAAATATATCAATAGAAGATCCAATCATAATCTTTTACATTTGAAAGTTGTTCTAAACTCAAGGTTATCAATATGATGTGTCAATTTTTGAATGATTGTTGTATACTGATTCATTTGGTTAAAGGAATAGACCAGTGAATACATGAGAAGTTATACAGTAAGTAAACATAAACTATTTAAACGATGAGGACTCATTATCCTGGTTAAATTAGAACTTGCCAATGATAGTATTGTAGTGAATAAAACATCAGTGGGGACAAACCAATGTATTTAACAACCAATTACAGAACTAGTTAGTAAAATCAAACAACCATATATTGAATCTCAATAGTTGAAATCATGAATCAATTGAAGCTAGACCACCATGGAAAACCAGGAAGCACTGGACGGCCGTTTCGTCCTAGTATGGGACTCCTCAGCAGTGCGCATCCACGATCCCGCTCCTCGCGAGATTCGAATCCAGGACCTATCAGTCTCGCGCCAGGCGCTTAACCAACTAGACCACTGAGCCGGTATCCAACGGTGTTAATGTCTAACTTCAACTAATCCACGAAGTTGCGCCACCGTCACCATTGTCTAGCTTCAATTGATTCATGATTTCAACAATTGAAATTACCAATTCTCCACAAAACCCATTCTAGTAATATATTGAATCGTTAATTTGCAAATTGTTCATCAATTGTCTTAAATCACTCAGAATCCCCTTGTTCTTGCATTTTCATACAAATTGCCTTCTGTTTTCATTCTTCATTGTTCGATCTTCTTATCTCTTGGCCGCCAGACATTCTGTTTAGTGCTCACGTCATATACTACTTATGTCTACATAAGTAGCACACATCACAGTATAATTTAAATGTACCTATAAATTCCTTCAGAAATATAAATAAAAACCTAAACTTCATGCCTTGTCATCGTTATGCTGTAGCTTAATGATCTAGAGGTTAAACACTTGAATACAAGATCAAAGATCCTAGATTCGAGTCTCCTATATAGGATCCATAGATGCCTACTATTGAGGAGTCCTATACTAGAACGAAACACCTATCCAATACTTTCAGATTTCCAATGATGCTCTAGCATATATCATTTGATTAGTTTTTTAATTAAACTAACAATATACAACACTATTACGAAAGTAATAGTTCATTTAAACAAAATCAAGCATTGTATAACAATCTATTTATTTATGGTTTTGTAATGAAATATACACTTTATAGAATATATATATATATCCTTTAATGAAACAATTTGAGACTATTTCCATTTGTTCATTCTGGTTTACTATTAAGAAATAAACAAACGAATAGAGTAAGTATCTATTTATGGTGATAAATATATTTAAGTAAAAAATGTCACAGAAAACAAGCTCCTTCTGGAACCCCCTCTGGGGTTGCCGTCAATCCCGATCTCGGATAAACTTACTTACTTACTTACTTACTTACGCCTGTTACTACCAATGGAGCATAGGCCGCCGACCAGCATTCTTCAACCTACTCACTCTGTCCTGGGCCTTCTTTTCTAGTTTCATCCAATTCTTGTTCATTTTTCTCATATCTATCTCTATTTCTCGGCGTAATGTATTCTTTGGTCTTGCTCTCCTCCCTCGGCCTTGAGGATTCCATGGGAGGGCTTGCCTTGTGATGCAGGTGGATGCTTTCCCCAATGTGTGTCCTATTCACTTCCAGTGCTTCTTCCTGATTTCTTCCTCCACTGGAATCTGATTTGTTCTCTCCCACTGTAGGTTGTTGCTTATAGTGTCCGGCCAGCGGATCTGAAGTATTTTGCGTAGACAACTGTTAATAAACACCTGTATCTTTTGGACGATGGATTTCGTAGTTTTCCAGGTTTCGGCCCCATACAGTAGAACTGTCTTGACATTTGTATTGAAAATTCTGACTTTGGTGTTGGTTGCCAATTGTTTTGAGTTCCAGATATTCTTCAGTTGTAAATATGCTGCTCTTGCTTTGCCAATCCACACCTTCACATCTGCATCAGATCCACCGTGTTCATCGATGATACTGCCCAAATATGTAAAGGTTTTTACATCTCGGATAAAGGGGGAAGGTTAAACATAGGGTTTAGTTTTTAAATAAACAATTCGTTTATGCGGGATCATTTCACGTAAGTTAAGAAACATGATTTGTTTTAAACATGCACCAGTATCAATCGAGTACACACTTGACGGAGAAGATTTGGAAGATATAAAAACATTTACATATCTGGGAAACATCATTGATAAATACGGTGGATCTGATTCAGATGTGAAGGCGCGGATCGGCAGAGCAAGAACAGCATATTTACAACTGACGAATTTCTAGAACTCAAAATAATTGGCAACCAACACCAAAGTCAAAATTTCCAATACAAATGTCAAGATAGTTTTATTGTATAGGGGTTAAGGGTAAGCGGAAACTTGGAAAACTACGATAGTCATCATCCAGAAGATACAAGTGTTTATTCACAATTGTCTATGCAAAATACCTCGGATCCGTTGGTCGGACACTATCAGTAACAACCCACTGTGGGAGAGAACAAACCAGATTCCAGCTGAGGAAGAAAATCAGGTATAAGCGCTGAAAGTGGATAGGACACACACATTGAGGAGAGCACCAAACCGTGTCACAAGAAAAACCCTCACTTCTAATCCTCAAGTCCAAAGGAAAAGAAGAAGACCAAAGAAGAACACATTACTCCGAGTAATGGAAACAGACGTAAGAAGAATGAACAAGAATTGGATAGAACTAGAAAGAAAGGCGGAGAACAGAGATGGTTGGACAGTGCTAGTCGGTGGCCTATACTCCATTGGGAGTAACAGACCTAAGTAAGTATGTACCAGTAATACTTGAATAACTAAGATGTATTTTCAGACATTATATAAGCTGAATTCAATTCGAAAAAACGGTTTGAATTATTCCGTTGTTAATATTTCAGCTGAAATTTGATCAATCTTGGTTAAAATACGCATATCTAGTGCGGATTGCCTCGATATAGTCATTGTGATACATGAATATTAATCCTGAATATCAACTCTAAGAGAAAAATGCATGAAGCTGATGAAGCTTAAATAGGTCAAAACACATATCCATGAATCTACTGCTAGCTACATTCCATTTATTCTATATCAACATATTTCTAGATTTATTTATTTATTTGAACACATAAATATTCGTACAAAGGTGCACTGAATACATATGCGCCACACACAAGTCACTTGATTTGTGTGTGAGCTGTGATACTGTCTGGGTACCTAGATCGAGGTAAGTGGTCTTCTTAGGGGGGGGGGGAACAAGCAGAGCCTTTGACCTAAAGGTTTAATCCATATGGTAGTAGAGCGACGTCAGGAGATGCAGTCATATGGTGACCGGTGATCAACCATTTGTTCCCTCAGGATCCTTGAAGCCCATGCTCACCAGTGGTTTGGAATCAGAGTTTTCAAATTCTTTATGTCGATTTCGGTTAAAGCTACGAAAATTCACTTTTCGCCATCTCGACTTCGTAAACAACAATAATGCCGCGAGACGTCAGTGAGTAGGACTTCCTTGACAGTGGCAATATCAGAGCATTTTGAAGAGGGTCAGCTGACTCTCCTTGCCGCCAACCGTACCAGGGCATTCGAGAACGACAAGTGTATTGATAATTGCCCTTATTATACTTGGTTAGAATAAATTAATCTTGAACATAAATTACAGAATTGACGGTTTAATAGTTTCCCTTTAATTTATATTCAAAAAAGAAAGAAAAATGTCTTACTGATCATACAAAACTGTTACATAAGATTGGTTGAAACGTAAAGTTTATAACATTGTATTGTAATTACTTACAATAAGAGAAGTTAAACTTGCTTTCACTGAAAAGAAAAAATAGAAGTGATAAACAGATGATGATGATGCTTTGGATGATGATGATGCTTTGGATGATGATGATGATGCTTTGAATGAAGATACTTTGGATGATGATGATGATGCTTTGAATGATGATACTTTGGATGATGATGATGATGATGCTTTGGATGATGATGATGATGCTTTGAATGATGATACTTTGGATGATGATGATGATGATGCTTTGGATGATGATGATGATGCTTTGAATGATGATACTTTGGATGATGATGATGATGCTTTGGATGATGATGATGATGTTGCTTTGGATGATGATACTTTGGATAATGATGTTTTTTATGATGATGCTTTGAATGATGATGATGATGCTTTGGATGATGATTCTTTGGATGATGATAATGATGATGCTTTGGATGATGATGCTTTGGATGAAGATGATGATGCTTTGGATGATGATGATGATGCTTTGAATGATGATACTTTGGATGATGATGATGCTTTGGATGATGATACTTTGGATGTTGATGATGATGCTTTGGATGATGATGATGATGCTTTGGATGATGATGCTTTGGATGATGATGATGATGCTTTGAATGATGATACTTTGGATGATGATGATGATGATGCTTTGGATGATGATGATGATGCTTTGAATGATGATACTTTGGATGATGATGATGATGCTTTGGATGATGATGATGATGTTGCTTTGGATGATGATACTTTGGATAATGATGTTTTTTATGATGATGCTTTGAATGATGATGATGATGCTTTGGATGATGATTCTTTGGATGATGATAATGATGATGCTTTGGATGATGATGCTTTGGATGAAGATGATGATGCTTTGGATGATGATGATGATGCTTTGAATGATGATACTTTGGATGATGATGATGCTTTGGATGATGATACTTTGGATGTTGATGATGATGCTTTGGATGATGATGATGATGCTTTGGATGATGATGCTTTGGATGATGATGATGATGCTTTGAATGATGATACTTTGGATGATGATGATGATGATGCTTTGGATGATGATACTTTGGATGTTGATGATGATGCTTTGGATGATGATGATGATATGTGAATACAATGGAATTGCAAACTATTACGTAATATAAATATAAACTCATACTTATGGTATAAAAAATATAGTGTTACATTATGAAGAGGTTAGCAAGAAAATCGCATTCACAATTACCTTCCTGTTCCATTGCGCTCTCGATAATGGCTATTCTTTTCGTTGGAGGTATCACTTAAACATTAAATTGATGATAACGAGACAAAGATCAATTTCAACTTACATTCAAGTACTTGTATTCTTTGTAGTTCAACATCTCTTAACAGCTTATAATGTTTCTCTACAAAAAAAAAGAAAATTTATGGGATCTCATTCTTGATTGATATTACGAATAGATTAATGTTTGACCATTATTAAAAACCTGAAAGCATTGGATATTTTTATCGTCCTAGTAATATAACTAATGAACAGTGTACATCTACAAATCACCACGCTGAAGATTGAAAATCCTGGATTCAAGTCCCGTGTACCGGATTGTGAATGCGCACTGCTGATGAGTTTCATACTAGAATAAAACAACCGTCCAGTACTTTCAGGTTTTCAATTTCGATCTAACATTGATTTTTTTATGATATCAATCTAAACTCAATAATCTCTATCACCTACAAGATGATGAGAAAAGAGACTGATTGATAGGGAAACGAAAGAACAATAAGTTCTGAAACAATGAATTATTTACTGTATAGTTCTCAGATTTCACTAAAATACTCTGTAATTTTGTATTCAACTACATTCAATTGTCCTTATTGGTATTCTTGTTCATTATAGAACTATAAAATAACAAATCCTTTTATAGTATATGCTACTGATATTGATAGATATCAGTAGTATGTATCATCAATTCAAAGTGGATTACCTGATGTTGGAAAGTTAAGAAGATCAAAAAGAAAAGAACCAGAACAGAGAGAGATCCATATTAGAAAATACTATATATTTAACAAATATCATTTATGATCTATTTAACTTACGTGTTTCATTGGATAATATTGTGTAGGCGTTTTGATTTGCTTGGTTTTGAATTTGTATTACTTTATCCCCTTATGAATCAAATTAATTATCAGTAATATATCAGTAGATTGTGATTATTGAAAAAAGAACAAGATTAGTTTTATGATGTTTAAAGTAATCTAAGTTTTATTCTCTAAGCTGAATGGTTTGGTTGTGGATTTCTTCATATACATATGGAGAAACTCGAATACTTCAATTCTATCTGATGTTTGTGTTGATGATATCATACAGAAGAACGATAAAAACTCCACAACTAAACCATTTAGCTTAAAGAATGAAACTTTATCAAAATTATCCAACTAAGATATAAATCTTCTTAACCATCTTAAAATGTTTCAATATGAACTTAATTGACTTTATATTTGACTATAAGTTGATATCAATACTTAAAATCATGAGTCAATACAAACTAGACTATTATGGAAAACCTGAAAGCAGTGAGACTCCTTAACAGTGTGTATCTATTGAAATTACTAAAAATCTTCACAAAACTCCTTCTCATAATAATCATCTACTCACTAGTAATGGAATTCAAGAGGTATTTTTAAGAGTTCTGGTAAGAAACCGTGAATAGTGGTGTTCAACCAGGTCTGTTGTGAGATATTAGCTCAGTGAAGATAATGCTGTATGGTGGAGTAATTTCGTGGATTAGTTGAAGTTAGATATTAACACTTTTAGATGCCATCCAGCTCAGTGGTCCAGAGGTTTAAGTGCTCACGCTTGAGACGGATAGGTCTTGAGTTCGAATCTCGCGAGACGGGATCATGGATGCATACTTCTGAAGAGTTCCACAATAGGACGAAACAGCCGTTCAGTGTTTCCAGGTTTTCCATGATGGTCTAGCTTCAAGTGACTCATGATTTCAACTACTGAACTTACTAAAATCTCCACAAAACCCCTTCTGATATAAGTCGATAGTTCAAAAATAACGATTGTATAAAACGAAAATTCCTGAGTTTGAGTCTTATTCTGAACATTTTGCATGTGTACTGTTGAGAAGTCCTCTACTAGAATGAAGCTCTTATTCAGTAATTCCAGGTTTTTGACATAGTCTAATATTGATAGATTCATGATCTCAATGAGCATTGAAACAGTTCATTGGATTTGAATTCTTTCCATTGATGTTTTGATCCAGAATTGATCAGTAACTTATTGGAATATGTACACCCTATGTGGATTACCTTGATATTGCCAATAAATCAGAATCATTCTAAACAAAAATGGATGATGTCTAACAGTGGATGTAGGTAAATACAGCTGATGAGTTCCAAATAGGACGAAAGGCATGTTCGGGATTCTAGTGATAAATTCATTAGCATCTATAAGTTTTGTGGTTTGAGTTATTTTTCTGGTTAGCGAACTAACCAGCTTCCAGCTGAAGAGGAAATTAGGAAAAGACGATGGAAATGGATAGGACATACATTGAGGAACTCATCAAACTTCATTACGAGTCAAGCGCTAACTTGGAATCCTGAAGGAAAGCGGAAAAGATGAAGGCCAAAGAACACATTATGTCGGGAAATAGAATCAGATATGAAAAGGATGAATAAGAACTGGAAAGGGCTGGAAAGAATTGCTCAGGACAGGGTTGGATGGATAATGCTGGTGAGCGGCCTATGCTCCTTCACGAGGAGTAACAGGCGTATGTAATTAAGTAAGTATAAGTTTTGTATTGTGATGAAATAATGAATTCCTTCATTTAGCCTTTAGTTACCATGCCTTTTTTTCCAATAACGTATAGACTACGCATGGTATTTACCAATAATAAACCTACTATCTTTTGCCAATATAATAACACATAGATATATGTCGTAGACAGTTACGGAATATTAGATTACTGTTTGGAGGTTGTTGAATAGTATTGGTTACTTCATGTACTGATTTTAGGTAAACACCTACTAAAAAGCGGTCAGATGTGTACGTATGTTTCGTTGAAGTGCTGACCGCGGAACAACTCTCATAGTGAAACTCAAAGTTTATGAGTTCAATCCCTGATGAAGTTGTCAACGGTATGTGTTCCAGAAACATTTCCTACTAAAACAAGATTATTATACTTCCTAGGTTTCAATCATCATTGTACTAAGTCAGTTATGTATTGTTAGTTTACATGCCATGACAACAAAAAAATAAACTCACTTTGTTTTAATTCTTCAGAGTTTGGTTTGAGGAAGGCGTAATTCTCTGTTATGATAATAAAAAGTTATTTTTAAACAAATATTGATAAAGTCTACAGGTATGCTATTTCAATATGACCACCACTGAAAACCTGGAAACACTTAATGGCCGTTTCGTCCTATTGTGGGACTCTTCAGAAGTATGCATCCATGATCTTGTCTCGCGAGATTCGAACTCAAGACCTATCTGTCTGAAGCACGAGCGCTTAAACCTCTGGACCACTGAGCTGGCCGGCATCCAACAGTGTTAATATCTAACTTCAACTAATCCATGAAATCGCGACACCGTACACTATTATCTTCACTAAGCTAATATCTCACAACAGACCTGGTTGAACACCACTATTCACGGCTTCTCACTAGAATTCAAGGAAACACCTCTTTGAGACCGTCACTAGTGAGCATATGTTGATTATTATCAGAATGGTGTTTTGTGGAGATTTCAATAGTTGAAATCATGAGGCTAGACCACCATGAAAAACTTGGAGGCACTGAACGGCCGTTTCATCCTACTGTGGATATGGACTGCTGAGGCCCTGGGTTCAAAGCCCACGAGCGGAATTGTGGATATTCCTATCACCTTGTAACAAATCTAACTAACCAATTTGCGCGCGATGTTTAAAACGATGATGTCGATTATATACTACCGAATGTGATACTTTAGATGAAGTTTCATATTTTGAATATTTACTGTTATTAATGACTGTAGATCACTTATAGAATGTTAAACAAATAAGATAAAACATTCTGTCCAACTATGATCAGAAATTGACATTCAAATAAGGTATGGAACTAATAGACAAAGTTGATAAGGCAATATATTGGGGTTAATACTGTTGACATTTGTAATGTTAAGGTTAACAGCTTAGCTAAAGCATAGTTACAATTCGAAGTATTAGCTTTTATCAGTATTGAGGTTGTGAAGATTATTAAGTTTTCTATTGAGATCATGAATCGACTGATGTTAGACCATCGTTGCAAACTTTGAAGCACTGGATGGCCGTTTCGTCCTAGTATGGGACTCCTCAACAGTGCGCATCCACGATCTCGCTCGCGAGATTCGAACCCAGGTGTAATGGGGCTAGCCTCATTAGAAATCTATTGTAATGTTTATAACAAAATATTCAGGTATTCAGGTATATATGTATTACATTCAAATAACTAACCATAACTTTTTACATATGCAATAGTACTTCTGATTAAATTCATTCGCATCATTTTCATGTTATCTTGAAAATAATTTTGAAAAAGAAAACAACATAGAAATGCTGATAAGCAAAGATAGATAATGGATAGCAGTGGAATCTAGTTTGAAGCGCGTTTCGTTCTATTTTGGACTCGTCAGTTAAATGTACCTGTATTCCAGAGTTGATGTTCACTCCGAGGATGTAATGACATTCAAAGCGAACGGTACTAAGTTCAAGTTTCAGAGGATGAAATTATAATACTGGAGAGACTATAATTTATGAACGAACCAATCAGAAGCGTTTTAGCGATCACAAGGTCACAGCGCCTATTTCAACACCTAATGCTCACGTATAACTAATTTACAGTGGATTTTAAAGAAGATGATATAATTGAGCGCCTAAAAACCAATGGGATTAATAAGAAGTTCCTTTATTTGTGATTACATTGATTAAATGACTTCTGGACTTTGTAAAGACTATCGTGAGGATGATGTATTTCGATGTAACATATGTTGGAGGAAAAATTCTGCTAAAATGGGAGTTGTTTACGCCCGATCACGATTGAGACTAAGACCGATTATGATAATTCTTTCAAACTGGATAATAAAAGCACCAATAACACTGGCAACGACCTTTG